ATTCTCTTTTTTAATATTTTTTCTATTTTAATGGAAATGGGGGTGGGGGTGGGCAATGCCCTCTGCTAAAAAAAGTGAGAGGGCGCAGGCCCACACTTCCGATGCTTCTGGTTCTAGGCCATAAATATTTGACTAAGAAGTGACTCAACTAAGTTCAAGAACGATTTTTTCTTAAATTAATTTTTTCATAAAATAAAATGAATAGTTAAAATTAAAGCAAAATTAAATTTTAACTACTAACAAGTTCAACACAAAAATAAGTTTCAGTTAACTTTAAGACATACCTTTCGACCAATAAACTTAAAACAAAAGAGAGCTAAAGTATCAAAACTCATAGCAATATTTTCTGTCCTAAAATTGAAACAACAATATTTTAAATCACAAGATAATTCTTAAAATTTTACTATTTTACATACTATAAATTTAGGACTTCATAAATTTTTAAGGAGCACAATGCTCATCTTTATGTACATTTACATTAAAAAGGAAATTAAAAATAACCATCTTCTTCATCCTTCATAACACAGAAGACGACAACATACATGTATCATAGAAAACAATACAGATTTCCTTTTACTCATTTTGATAAATGATCAATCATTGTTTTGATTCAAAAGTTACGGCAAGACTTTTCTTAAAAGTGAAGCATGATTATTTGGTATCAGTGCATAGCAAAAACAACTTTAGACTAAGGCCTACATAATTCCTAGCCTTAAAATTTGAGATCATCAAAAATCATGATTTAATTCATCAGTGAACAAAACTAAGTGGATTTTTTTCAATCATATTAGGTAGGAAAATTGCATGTGTGTAAAATTTTAAAATGCCAAGCATTTTAAGTCAAGAAAATGACAATGCACATGGGCCCCTAGTTGCAGACATCTATATGATATTAAATGAGACTGAAATAGAAGAAATTTTTCAATTCCCATACTTGTGAATTGAGTGCAAATTCAAGAAAACAATCAAAAGGTTAAAAGCAGCAAAAGACACAGGGTAGTGTAAATACTTTCATTCAGTATCAAAGTCATCAGAAATGGAGCAACTTCTCTTTTTTAAAACACTAAACTATTTTACTCAGCTAGCAGTGGCTCTAAATTCTAAACTTTTTCTGAAATTAATAAATTGTTCTGTATGACAAAATAAATTCTTTAATGTTTTGTAGTGCTAAACACAATAAAATCTTTACCTAAAATGCCAAAATGCAGTTTTTGAGAGACTGAAGAAAAAAATTTGTAAATATCGTGGGGATCATTTTTAGGGCCCCGTAACAGCTGAAATGGCAAGGCCCTAAATTGGAGCCACTCAGAGCCAGTACAGTATATTTAGACTTTGGTAAAAACATACTATCTTTAAATGTTAGTTCAATGTATCCTTTCAACAATGTTTCCAATCGATTTAAAATTTTTATGACCATTTTTTTTCTTGTCAAGTACGAACATTGTTTTCTTTCTCTTCAATAAGAACAATTTAATTAAATCAAAGTTTCGTTTGATTTTTTACAATAAGAATTTATCTTAGAAATTACATACTGAATATGAAAATTTTAACCATATTTTAAAAATTGCACATTAATTACATATACTTACATCGTTCCTTAATTTAAAGTTTCACGGTCAAAAGTCTGCGTTATCCGTAATGTTTTCAGAACACGACGAGTTTGATTGACGAGTCGAAGACAAAACAAAACATTAAAAATAACAACAACTGTATCTGTAGAAATTCATTTTATTACAGTAACACTAAATTGTATAAGACGTTCGTCCTTCGTCATTTTATTTCAGAAATTCGTCTCTTCATTTTTGAAATTGAAAGTCTTAAAAATCGAGTTGGTCAGCGGACTTTACTAAACATTTGCTTACAAGCCTCACATTTTGTGTCAGTAATTTTGAAAACTCTGGCATTAACCCACTTCATTTCTGCATTTTATTGAATTTTTTGTTTCTTAGTTATTGCTTTTTTTTCGTCTTCGTGTTCGGGTTTTCAAACAAATGACTGTAGCTACATGTTTCTCTAAAAGACACCTAAGAATGGAGCTGTGAGCAGATTTCTCGCTCTCAGAAAGGGGAAAAAATTAAGCTCATATTTATGACAGTGATGGTTTGGATTGCGTTTGAAATCTAAAATTAAAACCAGTCTTTTTCCGAAAATTTGTTTAGCTAAAGATTTCTAACAAAATTGTTGAAATTTTACACACACAGTGTAAAAGAAATTACTTAATATGGGCACACTAAAACCTTCGTATATAAAATACTAAATTGAAGGCTGTAACTCTGAATTTAATTTTTAGGAAAGTCCTACACGTGAAAGCAAACATATTGCCTTCAAAGAATTCACACAATGAATGAGGAAGATTATAAAATAACAAATACCGACACAACTCAAAAGAAGTTAGATGTTGGTATATTATCCAACGAAATAGAAAACCTGCCAAAAAAAGCAACTAAAGAAATCGAATTATTTGAAATAGGAGCTAAATCAAAAATTGATGATGTGCAGTTTTCACAATCTACAAAGTATTTACAAAGCACGTTTTATTCGAGTCAGTACCTCGATGCGCAAGCAACTGTCAACCCTGTCTTAGGATTTCAACCTCAAAATTACACGAGTTCTTTCTTTTATTCCCAAACGAGTCCTTACAACATGACTAATGCACCATTTGTAATAGACGGCTATCAAACCTGGTGCCACAATATACTTGCCTCACGTTCTCGCGACTCTCTACTCAGCCAACACAGAAGCAAAGTTTCAAATTTCCAAAATTTATACCCTACAACCGGGGAACCAAAGGTTCCAAAGTTAGTCCAGCAAGAAAGAGCAAACGAGTTTTGCATTCAAAAGCAAGGTCTCCAAAAGTTCTATCTTCACAAGAACGCTGGAACGCTTTTACATTGAGGCGGGGACCGCAGGAGAGCCATCAGAAAGAAACATCGGGTCTAAAAACACCTGTGATTCATATGACACAGCCTCCAAGAAGTACATCCACAGAATTTAATCACAATAATGTGGTAACCAATTACAATCGACCAAGTGTAATAGTGATGCGGCAACCCAACAAGAGTCCAACAATATCCCAAGAAACGCAAGAAAATTTTGGGCATTTCTCTTCATATAACAAAACAAATTTCTCTAAAATGATGCAGCTCCCTCACAAGGGACATACATGGAGTATCAATTCCCAAGGTAATGTACTGTATAGAATATCACAATTTCATTGAAGTTATGTTTGTGAAATTTCTTTTTTTTAATATAACAAAAAAGCATAAGAATTTTTTAGAAATATTCGTTGATATCGAAATACAAGCTAGCATATTGTTTTCGATTATATTGAATAAAATTATATTGCAAAAAATTGATTTCATCTGCTATTGTTCCAGTTGAAAGGGAAGAGAGGATAACTTCTCAAGATCAAAATAGACGTAAACTTGTACTACAACTCACTCTGTCAACGTAGCAAGATGGTAAACGCTTAACCTAGAGTAATCTCAACATGTTACAATTATCTTGTAGAATTTTTACGAAAGACAAAAATTCTTCCATTTCTAGTAGCAAAAAACTTCTTATTTCTAGACGAGAAGAAACCTTACAGATGCCGTTTATGTGACAAAGCTTTCAGCAAGTGCAGTGCCCTTATCATACATCACAGAGTGCACACCGGTGAAAAACCATACTGCTGTCCAGAATGCTTCAAGACCTTTTCCATATCCGGGAATCTACAACGTCACTTCCGTATACATACTCGCGAACGACCTCACGTTTGCCCTGAATGTTCACGAGCATTCAACAATCGAAGCCATTTGACAAGACACAGATCGAAACTTCATGCAGTCAAAGTCACAAGAACCTCAAAGTAGTGAAGAAATGCAATGGTGTCATATTAGAAACGTGTTAAACAAGTCATGACGAAAGCCGAAAAGACTTATCAAGGCTTCATTTGTTGCAACGAAAATATATTATGAATCGTGTTATCTTCACTTAATTAACCCAAAATTACTTGTAATATCTTTAGACATTTTCTTCATCGTTTATGAACTGATGAGAAATCAAACTTCACTTTAGCAGAAACTAGCTGATTATATATTATCAAATTAATTGAAATGAAATTGTTTTGTGTTAAAATTTTAAGTAGTTTTTGTATTTGATCAACATTGGAAAAATGAAATGATTTTTGAAAGCTTGTCAAGTTCTGGTCTTTCATTTGTTTTTTTGTAAATTATTGGTATTCATTATAAATTCTCATTCGCATCACAGTGCAATTGAGCATTCATAAATTTAAAAAATCGCATTAAAAAACGTTGTCAAGTTGAAAATCCCAGTGTTCATTATAAGGGGCGAGTTATGGTTCTCATTCAAAATGAATAAACTGAAAGCATTTCTCCTTTTACAAATGTATTTTCTCTCTATTCAACACTCTCACCATGAAGATCTGACTGAAAAACTCCAAAACTGACCAAAAAACTAGGGATCGAAGGAAAGTGTAAAGTTTTAAAAAACAATGCCTTTAAAAGCACACTTCATTGTTTATTCTGCTACTATACATTACTAACTTAAAATAGAATAAATTACTTCTAGATATAATATTACGTGTAGTCGTGTATTGATTGGTTTATTGATGTTAAAGATGATTGCTCAGTGAAAAACATAGCGCTTTGTCGAGTCGTGTATTCATTGGTTTATTGATGTTAAAGATGATTGCTCAGTGAAAAACATAGCGCTTTGTGGAGTCGTGTATTGATTGGTTTATTGATGTTAAAGATGATTGCTCAGTGAAAAACATAGCGCTTTGTGGAGTCGTGTATTGATTGGTTTATTGATGTTAAAGATGATTGCTCAGTGAAAAACATAGCGCTTTGTGTTAGGCATGGCACCATTCAAAGGATCGCCCGCTTATACCATGATGCTTTGCTGATTATTTTATACAGAAATGTAAAGAAAAAATGGCACCGTTCACCAATTTGTATCACGTCTTCGAGGATAAGTTAAAAATTTTCACAATCATGTTTGTAATGGTTAAATATTTAAACAAAAGGTTTACAAGTAAGGTATCGTATCCACAGACACTTAATTCGTTCAATGATACAAAACTAAGCAATTGACAGTAATTTCACTGGCCAATTGTTATTGTTATATGGCATGATTAAAAGCAGTGTTGTTTCACTCGTTATGTCAAAAGTTTGTATAACAAAGTCATTTTAAGATTATACATTAAGCCACCAATACTTCACTTCTGTTGTCCTCGTTTCGTAAATAAAAGCAGAAACAATGCTATAATTCTATAGGCAAAACCCATGGATACAAGCACTACAATAGCCGTGTTGTAGGTGTGTAAATCATAATGGTTGTCCCTTTGTACACGACTTATAATGTCGCTTAGTACAGCAGAATGTTCTTTTGCTTCTATTTCAAATATAGCCTCGGCAACCCAACGTGAAAAGGACAAATTGTAAAAAATAGTTGCAATAACTGTGTCGTCCAGTTTACATAACTCAGGAGAACCACCTTTATTAAACAAAATATCGCATTGTTCGACTGACTCAAAAAAAAAAAAACAAGTACAGTTACGATACGTCAATTTTAAGACAGACTAATCGAAAATCTGCCGTTGATTGGTGAATTTTCAAGACAGTATATGATAATTTTTCGAGGGAGTTGGAGGAAGTGTGTTGTAGCTAGTTATTCACAATACTTCGACAACGTGACTAAATTATTACCAAGAAATAACAACCCTCCCTCCCTCGACTTTCAAAAAAGGCAAAAATCTTAGACTAACCCAGACTAACCTGATAACAAAGCCATAATGACGACGGTTACAATGGCAGCCATTTGTGAATTTCTCGGAGTCATAATCAAAGACAAGACATAACCAAGCCCAGAAAGACAAAACCACGAACACAAAAATACGAAATAGTGAGAGGAGAACGGTGCTAAAAATATTACATTCATTTCACATTTTACGTTGTTTCCATTTTTATACAGATTCATTTTACAAGTTTTGATAAATTGACTGTGTGTAAAAAGCGTATAATGCGTAGGGGTCTTCAATGTACAGTTTATCCACTTGCCCTTATCTCTCGATCATTTTAACATATATGTGATGTTGATAAACATTGGGGTCATTGAAAATTGTACTTACGTAAGCAGTGGTTGATGTAGCAAACTTACCCAAGAAAGCTGCGATGGAATAATAAAGGCTAAGATACACAGCTGGTGATACCAAGAGAATAGGAATGTAGGCTATGTTTACAGCTAGGTAGTAACTAACACGATTGATACCCGAAGCACTTTCCCTGTAACACATAGAGATAACATGTGTCATAACATGAGTCTACAAATTGAATTTATTCTTGATTAAAATTTCATAAAGTACTATACAGAGCCCTAAAGCACATTTAAAAAGAACATAACGGTTGAGTACATAAACTTGACCCCCCACTGTTGTGTAAAGGTAAATATACCTCCAAAACACAATTCTATGAACTCCAAAACATCTGAGAGCAGCGTAAACACCGACTAAACCAACAACGATATTCCCAAAGTTTGTACTCTCGGGGACATTGTGTACTTCAACCTATACAAGGAAGGATAGTAAGGTACACGGAATTACCTCCAAAAAACCACCCTATTTTGGCCAAAACGTCTTGCCGAGGCAACGACTGCACCTAATCCTGATATTATATCCCCCAAGACAGTGCTCTCGTGAACGTCGTATATATATACCTATAGAGAGTGAAAAACATCTTTCTATAGATTGCATTAGCAGTAAAAAAGTTTCTACACATATACCATAAATGGAAATTCCGGGGGGAGACAGAGGAGCATGGTGAGTGTTGATTTCAATCAAGACGATTAAAATTAAAACATTTTAAGATATTTAATGTTACGAGAGCAACAAAAAAGAAGACGTAACTTTCATTACAATCTTATATGATACGTCATAAAAAAAGATAACAAAAAAGCGTCTTCACCTCTCGGAACAGAAGACCCAAAGCAGCGCCAGCAATCATCATTAAAGCCTGGTCCAGCAGTAGAGTGCGACACATGCGCAATTGAAGTGTTAACTCACGTCTAAAACCCAAAACTGGCGGAAAAACCCTGGTCGTTTCTTTGACAGCTTTTCGGACATGCTTTTGTTGTCCTGGCAGCAGGCCTCGACTTGACTATTCGCCTCAGATTCACTATGGTGAGTTTTTAAAAAACCATCTACTAGAAAATGAACAAAGTAACAAAATTTACGGAGTAAGAGCCTACATTTATGTGATTATATTTGCAAAGGCATTTCTTTTCATTTAGCTATAAAACCGTACGAGTCCAACTCGCCAAGATGTTAATTTCTAGAGTGTACATTATTTAACCTACCATCTAGTGATTCAAATCTTGTGTTCTTCGGATGAGTAAGTGTCTGAGAACATGCAGAATTGGTGGAAAAGCTAGAACTCCGGGTTTGGCCCCCGTCATTTATGATGTCCACTTGAGACATATCTTTTGAAACAACATTACATTTCCTATCTTCCTCAGAGCCTTCATGTCGGTCCCACTCTTCAATAAGATTTATATGTACATCATGTTCGTTCTTAACTTCGCCAGCGATCACATCCATATAGAAATCAGCGGGGTTGACGTAAGGAGGCATAGGAAACCCAATTCTGGAAAAGTAAGCCTCAGCTTCATCTACAGGACCAGAATATACAGTTCTACCACCTTGGCCAAGAAACAGAACCTTGTCAAACATTGCTAAAAATAAATGATAGTTCATTTAATGTCTTTGATGAAATAAGTAATACAGTTGAAACATCCTTGTGTGTTCTATTGAACTTTATAGTCTAGTGTCATCATCATAAAACATTTTAACTTCATTATTAAAAATTTCCTGTCAAATGTTTCCATCAGGAGCGAGTCTTTATATACACCAGTCTAGTGTCTTTATTAGGAGTAATCTGTCGTTGAATTTTTTTGTTTTTTCTTCTTCATTTACGAAGTATTTAGACCGTCGTTAAGTAGACCGTCGTTACGTAGAATGTCGTTTGATGATTTACCTAGAATTTCAAATCTTGGTTGATGGATGACACAACAAATGGTCATGTTGGTTTTGGCAGCAAGAGTTTTTAACGCCGTCACCAAAACCAAGCTTGATGCACTGTCCAAACCTCTGTAAAAATATACGATAAACAGCATGAAAAAATACACAAAGTTGCACATGCACAAAACGATGATTCACTACAACTATGTTCCAGTAATTTTTTAACAGTTAAAACTACAACGCATGTCACGACAATGAAATGATTACGGTTCAATGTTACTGCACTTACAACAAAGTACGATAAAAATACGATACAATGTTTTTTATTTATGATTAACTAACGTCGTGGGTTCATCGAGAAAGAGTATAGTTGGTGTTAAGTTAAACATTGTAAATTGATATTTCCTTATAGACACGTGAACATTCCTATGTTAATTTTTACTGCATGCTATTATATATTGAGTCGAGTCAGTCGGGTCGAGCACATGTAACAGAATGGTGAACTTATATCAAACTAGAATTATATTACCTAAATAGTCTAATTTATTCGCTACCACCATCATGACTTCAACAGGTTATGGGCCCAGGTCTGTTACCAAAACAGTAGACATAAAAGTTTTAATTTTGTGCAGATATTGGTTTAGTGAACATATCTGATATATTATCACTTGACATAACATATTTTACATTTATTAGACCCTTTTGTATTTCTTGCCTAATAAAATGATAGCGAATATCAATATGTTTGGACCGTTGATGTTGCACAGGGTTTTTGGCTAGAGCTATCGCACCTTGATTGTCACAAAACAAACTAACAGGATTTGAGGATTCTATTGGAAAGTCTTTTAAAAGTTGCAAGAGAAATTTCGCCTCTTGAATAGCAGAACTTAATGACATGTATTCTGCCTCACATGTGGATAAAGCAACAGTAGGCTGTTTTTACTTTTCCATGAAATCAAGGGACCAGTTTTATTTAGTTGGAAACCATATCCCGTTATACTTCGTCTATCCTCTGAGGAACCCCAATCAGCATCACAATAACCCATTAGAGACAGAGGCTGTTGAGATTTTCTGAAGACAAGCCCTTTTTCTGACGTACCTTTTAAGTAACGTAAAACATGCTTTGCAGTGTTCATGTCAGATGCTGTAGGAGCAGACAGATGCTGAGACAGCTTAGTCACACTATAGCATAAATCAGGTCTAGTTGATGTCATTACATACACTAAACTTCCTACTATTTCTCTGTAGAGCTTGTTATTTACTAGTGGTGATTCTTCAGATTTCATTTTATTAGAACTCATCTCACATGGTGAAGATCTAGGTTTACAATTTTGCATGTTAAACTTAGCTAGAATCTTCTCGATATACTTTGATTGACTCATTATTATCTCATTTTTCTCACAGGTAAATTCTATACCTAGAAACCAAGAGAGGGCCCAGGTCTTTCATTTTAAAACGACTACTAAGTTTCTGCTTTACCTCTGCTAAGCACTCTGCACTACTTGATGCTATTATTATGTCATCTACCCAAATGATTAGAATTGTCACTGAAGTATCAGTTACCTTGACATATACACAATTATCAGACTCAGATCGACTAAAACCTTCACTTTTTAGGTAAGAGTCCAGTAAATTGTTCCAATTACGACCACTCTGTTTTAATCCATAGAGAGATTTCTTAAGTTTAAGCACAAGATTTTCTCCATTATTTCCCTTTTTAACAAAACCGTCAGGTTGTTCAACATAAATATCACAATCTATGGGGGCATTAAGGAATGCAGTTGTAACGTCCATTTGGTGTACAGTTAGATTATATTGTACAGCTAATTGCATTAATATCCTTACTGATGTCATTCTGGCGTTGGTGAGAAAGTTTCATGATAATCAACATGTGGGATTTGGGAATACCCTTTGCTACGTAACGAGCTTTAAATCTTTCTTCCCCATTTGGAGCAGTTTTTATGGCATACACCCATTTTCCCCCCACAGAATTCTTATTCTCTGGCAAAATTGCTGGTTCAAATGTCTCATTTTCTTTTAAAGCTTTGATTTCCTCTTCCATGGCCTGTTGCCATTTCTTAGAGTCATTAGAAGCCATTGCTTCTTCATAAGACTTAGGAGCATCTACAGCTCTATAGCAGTAGTCAATAGTGAAATTTACATTGTTTTCCTCAATCTCACTTCCATCAACATATTGCTCTAAATATCTAGGTTTTGTATGCTCACGTCTTGGATATCTATTTACGTGTGGTTGTTCAGTGGATGTGTTTAGCTCATTTTCGTTTACTTCAACTGGAGGATTTTCATTAACTATATTGTATTCAGTTGTGCTTGCAGGCATACTCACAAGTACTGGTTCATCAATCATTACTTCAGTCTTTGGTACATCACTTTCAACATTAAATTTGTCGGAAAATCTTCCATTTCGCAACGCTTAATAGCTTGAGTGCTTGGAAAATAAATGAGATAGGCTGGACTTCCCTTATCATAGCCTACAAATACACCTTGTTCCGCTTTTGCATCTAACTTTTCTTTTCTTGTTTGTATGCATAGCAAATAGTGCCAAAATATGCATGTTTTGAATATTTGGCTTGTGTCCAGTAAAGGCTTCAAACGGTGTTTTCTTAATCCTATGATTGAAACAACGGTTCCTTATGTGCTGCGGTCATAACAGCATAAACCCAAAATGTTTTTTGTAATTTGGATTGTAAAAGCATGCATCTGGCCATGTCAAACAGTGACCTCCAATTTCGTTCTACAGTCCCATTTTGATGGGGTGAATAGGGGGCTGATTTTTCATGTTTAATACTATGTTTGACCAAAAGATTCTGAAATTCTTGTGAAGTGAATTCTGTTCCGTTGTCGCTCCTAATGTTTTACCTTGCCATATGGAGTAATATCAGCTAAAAATTTTTCAGTTGCCTTAATAGTGTCAGACTTATTCACTAGAAAATATATCATAGTTAGTCCCGAATAATCATCTACAAAAGCTAGTGCATATCGATAATCATTTCTGGCTACAGGATCTATTGGACCTGCTAAATCACAATGGACTAGTTCTAGAATTGCATTTGCACGCCTATCCGGTTTTCTACTTCTGCTCTGAGTCATTTTTCCTTCTACACAAGTTTTACAGTCAAATTCTTCCTTCTTGTCTATTTTCATGCCATCAACCACATTTTCTAAAGCAATAATATCATTTAGGTTGCAGTGCCCTAAGATGTCATGCCATTCCTTTAAAGATTTTGTTTTGCCATTTTGCTTAGCCATGCTAGATGAGATTACACTATTCAAATAATATAACTTTCCTTTTCTCTCAATTGGAAATTCTTTCCCATTTGGGCTAACTAATTTAGCACAATCTGGCGAAAGTAACAGTGGCACCTTTACTAACTGCAGCATGTACAGAGAGAATGTCTTGTTTATAGGATGGGACATACAAAGCATCCTTAAGAAGAGCCTTATGCATTACACCATCATTATCACTAATTTCAATCTCCGCATCGCCCTTCTTTGTGCAACCTTATTTGACCTTTTTCCATCTGCTAACTCAATGAAATGCCTTTCAGGAATGAAATTTGTGTCGAACCTAATAAATTTGCTCATGTCATGAACTATGTGTGTAGTTGCCCCACAGTCTACAAGTACATGGTTAACATAGTCAGCGCTCGTTATATCCACGTTGACATTGAATGCATATGAATGACCTTCATGGATGTCATTGTTACTAACATAATTATCTCTTACTGATTTAGTAGCATCGTTCTTATTCCTCGTTTTCTTCTTGTTCTTGCGACATTTTTCTGTGTTGTGGGAGCTGTTCTTGCACAAATCACACCAACGATTATTTGACTGACATTCTGATATTTTATGTCCTGGTTTTCCGCATCCGTAACAAACGATTTTTCCTTTGCCGTGTCTGTTGCTCGTGGGTTTACCGAGAACTTCCATCACACTGTCCTCCTTTTGGTTATTTTCATCTGAGAGCTTCAGTGTTTCTTCGAAACCTCTCAGCGCGACTTTGAATTCGCTAAACGTTTGTTCCTTGTCTTTCTGTGTCACAACCGTCGAGAACGTTTTATATTTTTCAGAAGGCAATCCTTTGATAATCATGGCAATCAGCAAGCTATCGCTTATCGTTTCACCAGCAGATTTGAGAGACGTTGATGCCGTTTCTGCTCGCAGCATATAATCCGTAACTGTTTCATCACTTGACTTCTTTAGCGAGGTTAATTCTGTATATAACGTTATCACACGTGGTTTGCCTTTCGAAAGATAGTGCTCGCGTAAGATGGCCAAAGCTTTCCTTCCATCGTTAGCGGCGTCACGAATGATGAGAGATAAACTTCTATCGTCTAATAGTTGTATCAGTTCAGCATAGGCATCGGCATTTTTCACAGCGTCTTCTTCTCTTTGTGTTGGTCCAGCGTCGGCAGGCAATGATGACAGGATTGTTTTACTCAGCTTCTTGAGTCTTAAATACCCAAGGAATTTTATTTCCCATAACTCATACTTTCTCTCGTCACCATCGAAAATTAGGCGGCTGTTGCTGGGCCCATAACCTGTTGAAGTCATGATGGTGGTAGCGAATAAATTAGACTATGTGCTCGACCCGACTGACTCGACTCAATATATAATAGCATGCAGTAAAAATTAACATAGGAATGTTCACGTGTCTATAAGGAAATATCAATTTACAATGTTTAACTTAACACCAACTATACTCTTTCTCGATGAACCCACGACGTTAGTTAATCATAAATAAAAAACATTGTATCGTATTTTTATCGTACTTTGTTGTAAGTGCAGTAACATTGAACCGTAATCATTTCATTGTCGTGACATGCGTTGTAGTTTTAACTGTTAAAAAATTACTGGAACATAGTTGTAGTGAATCATCGTTTTGTGCATGTGCAACTTTGTGTATTTTTTCATGCTGTTTATCGTATATTTTTACAGAGGTTTGGACAGTGCATCAAGCTTGGTTTTGGTGACGGCGTTAAAAACTCTTGCTGCCAAAACCAACATGACCATTTGTTGTGTCATCCATCAACCAAGATTTGAAATTCTAGGTAAATCATCAAACGACATTCTACGTAACGACGGTCTACTTAACGACGGTCTAAATACTTCGTAAATGAAGAAGAAAAAACAAAAAAATTCAACGACAGATTACTCCTAATAAAGACACTAGACTGGTGTATATAAAGACTCGCTCCTGATGGAAACATTTGACAGGAAATTTTAATAATGAAGTTAAAATGTTTTATGATGATGACACTAGACTATAAAGTTCAATAGAACACACAAGGATGTTTCAACTGTATTACTTATTTCATCAAAGACATTAAATGAACTATCATTTATTTTAGCAATGTTTGACAAGGTTCTGTTTCTTGGCCAAGGTGGTAGAACTGTATATTCTGGTCCTGTAGATGAAGCTGAGGCTTACTTTTCCAGAATTGGGTTTCCTATGCCTCCTTACGTCAACCCCGCTGATTTCTATATGGATGTGATCGCTGGCGAAGTTAAGAACGAACATGATGTACATATAAATCTTATTGAAGAGTGGGACCGACATGAAGGCTCTGAGGAAGATAGGAAATGTAATGTTGTTTCAAAAGATATGTCTCAAGTGGACATCATAAATGACGGGGGCCAAACCCGGAGTTCTAGCTTTTCCACCAATTCTGCATGTTCTCAGACACTTACTCATCCGAAGAACACAAGATTTGAATCACTAGATGGTAGGTTAAATAATGTACACTCTAGAAATTAACATCTTGGCGAGTTGGACTCGTACGGTTTTATAGCTAAATGAAAAGAAATGCCTTTGCAAATATAATCACATAAATGTAGGCTCTTACTCCGTAAATTTTGTTACTTTGTTCATTTTCTAGTAGATGGTTTTTTAAAAACTCACCATAGTGAATCTGAGGCGAATAGTCAAGTCGAGGCCTGCTGCCAGGACAACAAAAGCATGTCCGAAAAGCTGTCAAAGAAACGACCAGGGTTTTTCCGCCAGTTTTGGGTTTTTTTTAGACGTGAGTTAACACTTCAATTGCGCATGTGTCGCACTCTACTGCTGGACCAGGCTTTAATGATGATTGCTGGCGCTGCTTTGGGTCTTCTGTTCCGAGAGGTGAAGACGCTTTTTTGTTATCTTTTTTTATGACGTATCATATAAGATTGTAATGAAAGTTACGTCTTCTTTTTTGTTGCTCTCGTAACATTAAATATCTTAAAATGTTTTAATTTTAATCGTCTTGATTGAAATCAACACTCACCATGCTCCTCTGTCTCCCCCCGGAATTTCCATTTATGGTATATGTGTAGAAACTTTTTTACTGCTAATGCAATCTATAGAAAGATGTTTTTCACTCTCTATAGGTATATATATACGACGTTCACGAGAGCACTGTCTTGGGGGATATAATATCAGGATTAGGTGCAGTCGTTGCCTCGGCAAGACGTTTTGGCCAAAATAGGGTGGTTTTTTGGAGGTAATTCCGTGTACCTTACTATCCTTCCTTGTATAGGTTGAAGTACACAATGTCCCCGAGAGTACAAACTTTGGGAATATCGTTGTTGGTTTAGTCGGTGTTTACGCTGCTCTCAGATGTTTTGGAGTTCATAGAATTGTGTTTTGGAGGTATATTTACCTTTACACAACAGTGGGGGGTCAAGTTTATGTACTCAACCGTTATGTTCTTTTTAAATGTGCTTTAGGGCTCTGTATAGTACTTTATGAAATTTTAATCAAGAATAAATTCAATTTGTAGACTCATGTTATGACACATGTTATCTCTATGTGTTACAGGGAAAGTGCTTCGGGTATCAATCGTGTTAGTTACTACCTAGCTGTAAACATAGCCTACATTCCTATTCTCTTGGTATCACCAGCTGTGTATCTTAGCCTTTATTATTCCATCGCAGCTTTCTTGGGTAAGTTTGCTACATCAACCACTGCTTACGTAAGTACAATTTTCAATGACCCCAATGTTTATCAACATCACATATATGTTAAAATGATCGAGAGATAAGGGCAAGTGGATAAACTGTACATTGAAGACCCCTACGCATTATACGCTTTTTACACACAGTCAATTTATCAAAACTTGTAAAAATGAATCTGTATAAAAATGGAAACAACGTAAAATGTGAAATGAATGTAATATTTTTAGCACCGTTCTCCTCTCACTATTTCGTATTTTTGTGTTCGTGGTTTTGTCTTTCTGGGCTTGGTTATGTCTTGTCTTTGATTATGACTCCGAGAAATTCACAAATGGCTGCCATTGTAACCGTCGTCATTATGGCTTTGTTATCAGGTTAGTCTGGGTTAGTCTAAGATTTTTGCCTTTTTGAAAGTCGAGGGAGGGAGGTTGTTATTTCTTGGTAATAATTTAGTCACGTTGTCGAAGTATTGTGAATAACTAGCTACAACACACTTCCTCCAACTCCCTCGAAAAATTATCATATACTGTCTTGAAAATTCACCAATCAACGGCAGATTTTCGATTAGTCTGTCTTAAAATTGACGTATCGTAACTGTACTTGTTTTTTTTTTTTTGAGTCAGTCGAACAATGCGATATTTTGTTTAATAAAGGTGGTTCTCCTGAGTTATGTAAACTGGACGACACAGTTATTGCAACTATTTTTTACAATTTGTCCTTTTCACGTTGGGTTGCCGAGGCTATATTTGAAATAGAAGCAAAGAACATTCTGCTGTACTAAGCGACATTATAAGTCGTGTACAAAGGGACAACCATTATGATTTACACACCTACAACACGGCTATTGTAGTGCTTGTATCCATGGGTTTTGCCTATAGAATTATAGCATTGTTTCTGCTTTTATTTACGAAACGAGGACAACAGAAGTGAAGTATTGGTGGCTTAATGTATAATCTTAAAATGACTTTGTTATACAAACTTTTGACATAACGAGTGAAACAACACTGCTTTTAATCATGCCATATAACAATAACAATTGGCCAGTGAAATTACTGTCAATTGCTTAGTTTTGTATCATTGAACGAATTAAGTGTCTGTGGATACGATACCTTACTTGTAAACCTTTTGTTTAAATATTTAACCATTACAAACATGATTGTGAAAATTTTTAACTTATCCTCGAAGACGTGATACAAATTGGTGAACGGTGCCATTTTTTCTTTACATTTCTGTATAAAATAATCAGCAAAGCATCATGGTATAAGCGGGCGATCCTTTGAATGGTGCCATGCCTAACACAAAGCGCTATGTTTTCACTGAGCAATCATCTTTAACATCAATAAACCAATCAATACACGACTCCACAAAGCGCTATGTTTTCACTGAGCAATCATCTTTAACATCAATAAACCAATCAATACACGACTCCACAAAGCGCTATGTTTTCACTGAGCAATCATCTTTAACATCAATAAACCAATGAATACACGACTCGACAAAGCGCTATGTTTTCACTGAGCAATCATCTTTAACATCAATAAACCAATCAATACACGACTACACGTAATATTATATCTAGAAGTAATTTATTCTATTTTAAGTTAGTAATGTATAGTAGCAGAATAAACAATGAAGTGTGCTTTTAAAGGCATTGTTTTTTAAAACTTTACACTTTCCTTCGATCCCTAGTTTTTTGGTCAGTTTTGGAGTTTTTCAGTCAGATCTTCATGGTGAGAGTGTTGAATAGAGAGAAAATACATTTGTAAAAGGAGAAATGCTTTCAGTTTATTCATTTTGAATGAGAACCATAACTCGCCCCTTATAATGAACACTGGGATTTTCAACTTGACAACGTTTTTTAATGCGATTTTTTAAATTTATGAATGCTCAATTGCACTGTGATGCGAATGAGAATTTATAATGAATACCAATAATTTACAAAAAAACAAATGAAAGACCAGAACTTGACAAGCTTTCAAAAATCATTTCATTTTTCCAATGTTGATCAAATTAAAGCGACTACAAAACTACTTAAAATTTTAACACAAAACAATTTCATTTCAATTAATTTGATAATATATAATCAGCTAGTTTCTGCTAAAGTGAAGTTTGATTTCTCATCAGTTCATAAACGATGAAGAAAATGTCTAAAGATATTACAAGTAATTTTGGGTTAATTAAGTGAAGATAACACGATTCATAATATATTTTCGTTGCAACAAATGAAGCCTTGATAAGTCTTTTCGGCTTTCGTCATGACTTGTTTAACACGTTTCTAATATGACACCATTGCATTTCTTCACTACTTTGAGGTTCTTGTGACTTTGACTGCATGAAGTTTCGATCTGTGTCTTGTCAAATGGCTTCGATTGTTGAATGCTCGTGAACATTCAGGGCAAACGTGAGGTCGTTCGCGAGTATGTATACGGAAGTGACGTTGTAGATTCCCGGATATGGAAAAGGTCTTGAAGCATTCTGGACAGCAGTATGGTTTTTCACCGGTGTGCACTCTGTGATGTATGATAAGGGCACTGCACTTGCTGAAAGCTTTGTCACATAAACGGCATCTGTAAGGTTTCTTCTCGTCTAGAAATAAGAAGTTTTTTGCTACTAGAAATGGAAGAATTTTTGTCTTTCGTAAAATTCTACAAGATAATTGTAACATGTTGAGATTACTCTAGGTTAAGCGTTTACCATCTTGCTACGTTGACAGAGTGAGTTGTAGTACAAGTTTACGTCTATTTTGATCTTGAGAAGTTATCCTCTCTTCCCTTTCAACTGGAACAATAGCAGATGAAATCAATTTTTTGCAATATAATTTTATTCAATATAATCGAAAACAATATGCTAGCTTGTATTTCGATATCAACGAATATTTCTAAAAAATTCTTATGCTTTTTTGTTATATTAAAAAAAAGAAATTTCACAAACATAACTTCAATGAAATTGTGATATTCTATACAGTACATTACCTTGGGAATTGATACTCCATGTATGTCCCTTGTGAGGGAGCTGCATCATTTTAGAGAAATTTGTTTTGTTATATGAAGAGAAATGCCCAAAATTTTCTTGCGTTTCTTGGGATATTGTTGGACTCTTGTTGGGTTGCCGCATCACTATTACACTTGGTCGATTGTAATTGGTTACCACATTATTGTGATTAAATTCTGTGGATGTACTTCTTGGAGGCTGTGTCATATGAATCACAGGTGTTTTTAGACCCGATGTTTCTTTCTGATGGCTCTCCTGCGGTCCCCGCCTCAATGTAAAAGCGTTCCAGCGTTCTTGTGAAGATAGAACTTTTGGAGACCTTGCTTCTTGAATGCAAAACTCGTTTGCTCTTTCTTGCTGGACTAACTTTGGAACCTTTGGTTCCCCGGTTGTAGGGTATAAATTTTGGAAATTTGAAACTTTGCTTCTGTGTTGGCTGAGTAGAGAGTCGCGAGAACGTGAGGCAAGTATATTGTGGCACCAGGTTTGATAGCCGTCTATTACAAATGGTGCATTAGTCATGTTGTAAGGACTCGTTTGGGAATAAAAGAAAGAACTCGTGTAATTTTGAGGTTGAAATCCTAAGACAGGGTTGACAGTTGCTTGCGCATCGAGGTACTGACTCGAATAAAACGTGCTTTGTAAATACTTTGTAGATTGTGAAAACTGCACATCATCAATTTTTGATTTAGCTCCTATTTCAAATAATTCGATTTCTTTAGTTGCTTTTTTTGGCAGGTTTTCTATTTCGTTGGATAATATACCAACATCTAACTTCTTTTGAGTTGTGTCGGTATTTGTTATTTTATAATCTTCCTCATTCATTGTGTGAATTCTTTGAAGGCAATATGTTTGCTTTCACGTGTAGGACTTTCCTAAAAATTAAATTCAGAGTTACAGCCTTCAATTTAGTATTTTATATACGAAGGTTTTAGTGTGCCCATATTAAGTAATTTCTTTTACACTGTGTGTGTAAAATTTCAACAATTTTGTTAGAAATCTTTAGCTAAACAAATTTTCGGAAAAAGACTGGTTTTAATTTTTAGATTTCAAACGCAATCCAAACCATCACTGTCATAAATATGAGCTTAATTTTTTCCCCTTTCTGAGAGCGAGAAATCTGCTCACAGCTCCATTCTTAGGTGTCTTTTAGAGAAACATGTAGCTACAGTCATTTGTTTGAAAACCCGAACACGAAGACGAAAAAAGCAATAACTAAGAAACAAAAATTCAATAAAATGCAGAAATGAAGTGGGTTAATGCCAGAGTTTTCAAAATTACTGACACAAAATGTGAGGCTTGTAAGCAAATGTTTAGTAAAGTCCGCTGACCAACTCGATTTTTAAGACTTTCAATTTCAAAAATGAAGAGACGAATTTCTGAAATAAAATGACGAAGGACGAACGTCTTATACAATTTAGTGTTACTGTAATAAAATGAATTTCTACAGATACAGTTGTTGTTATTTTTTTAATGTTTTGTTTTGTCTTCGACTCGTCAATCAAACTCGTCGTGTTCTGAAAACATTACGGATAACGCAGACTTTTGACCGTGAAACTTTAAATTAAGGAACGATGTAAGTATATGTAATTAATGTGCAATTTTTAAAATATGGTTAAAATTTTCATATTCAGTATGTAATTTCTAAGATAAATTCTTATTGTAAAAAATCAAACGAAACTTTGATTTAATTAAATTGTTCTTATTGAAGAGAAAGAAAACAATGTTCGTACTTGACAAGAAAAAAAATGGTCATAAAAATTTTAAATCGATTGGAAACATTGTTGAAAGGATACATTGAACTAACATTTAAAGATAGTATGTTTTTTTACCAAAGTCTAAATATACTGTACTGGCTCTGAGTGGCTCCAATTTAGGGCCTTGCCATTTCAGCTGTTACGGGGCCCTAAAAATGATCCCCACGATATTTACAAATTTTTTTCTTCAGTCTCTCAAAAACTGCATTTTGGCATTTTAGGTAAAGATTTTATTGTGTTTAGCACTACAAAACATTAAAGAATTTATTTTGTCATACAGAACAATTTATTAATTTCAGAAAAAGTTTAGAATTTAGAGCCACTGCTAGCTGAGTAAAATAGTTTAGTGTTTTAAAAAAGAGAAGTTGCTCCATTTCTGATGACTTTGATACTGAATGAAAGTATTTACACTACCCTGTGTCTTTTGCTGCTTTTAACCTTTTGATTGTTTTCTTGAATTTGCACTCAATTCACAAGTATGGGAATTGAAAAATTTCTTCTATTTCAGTCTCATTTAATATCATATAGATGTCTGCAACTAGGGGCCCATGTGCATTGTCATTTTCTTGACTTAAAATGCTTGGCATTTTAAAATTTTACACACATGCAATTTTCCTACCTAATATGATTGAAAAAATCCACTTAGTTTTGTTCACTGATGAATTAAATCATGATTTTTGATGATCTCAAATTTTAAGGCTAGGAATTATGTAGGCCTTAGTCTAAAGTTGTTTTTGCTATGCACTGATACCAAATAATCATGCTTCACTTTTAAGAAAAGTCTTGCCGTAACTTTTGAATCAAAACAATGATTGATCATTTATCAAAATGAGTAAAAGGAAATCTGTATTGTTTTCTATGATACATGTATGTTGTCGTCTTCTGTGTTATGAAGGATGAAGAAGATGGTTATTTTTAATTTCCTTTTTAATGTAAATGTACATAAAGATGAGCATTGTGCTCCTTAAAAATTTATGAAGTCCTAAATTTATAGTATGTAAAATAGTAAAATTTTAAGAATTATCTTGTGATTTAAAATATTGTTGTTTCAATTTTAGGACAGAAAATATTGCTATGAGTTTTGATACTTTAGCTCTCTTTTGTTTTAAGTTTATTGGTCGAAAGGTATGTCTTAAAGTTAACTGAAACTTATTTTTGTGTTGAACTTGTTAGTAGTTAAAATTTAATTTTGCTTTAATTTTAACTATTCATTTTATTTTATGAAAAAAATTAATTTAAGAAAAAATCGTTCTTGAACTTAGTTGAGTCACTTCTTAGTCAAATATTTATGGCCTAGAACCAGAAGCATCGGAAGTGTGGGCCTGCGCCCTCTCACTTTTTTTAGCAGAGGGCATTGCCCACCCCCACCCCCATTTCCATTAAAATAGAAAAAATATTAAAAA